TCCTGTCTGGGAGCTTTGGCTTTTTCAGTATTTTTTTTTTTTTTTTTAATTGTAGTGTTAGGTTAATGTAATGTTCCCCTGAGAAAAGGTTGTTATAAGCTTGTGTGTATTTTTTGGCTCCTGCCAGTTTCTGTGTAGGCAGCCATGATCAGCTAAGCTGTGATAAATTTTACAAGATTTTATCTTCACCAAAGTTAACGTCATCTGTATTTGACAGGCAAGATTCATATTAGACCAACTAAATAGTTGGAAAAATTGTTCTTTACAAACTTTTGGGCACAAACACCCTTCTTCAGGTATAGGAAGAGTCTGCTGGTGTTTGTGTACTCTTGTGGGTGGAATTGAAGCTGAAGCCAATATGCAAAATTCAGGTCTGTGAAAATGCAAGTGCATGCCAGGGAAGATCAGAGGGAATGGGAGTTAATGGGTGTGAGACAGGTAGGAACCAGGTAGTATTTGACAACTGCGCTAGAATCATGAAACTAGAATTTGTTTCTTCAAGTGTAGACTCAATTCCTAATAAGAAGGCTTATCTCTGAATTCATGCTGTTGTTGACAGATACCAAACCAGAAGCATTACTAATGTTAAGCATATTAAAAGAAAGGCACACCCAATCTTCAAATATGATGATCTGAAAAGTTGGAGTTTTAGGGATGAGATTATCATTCTTCCTAAGGTGTATACGATGAAACCTTACTTACTTGACAAACTATCTTAATTGGGCAGCTACTGAAGGAGAAGGTGACTGTGTCTAGGCCTGGTACCCTCTAAATTTCTTGACTGCCACTTGTACTGAATATTTCAGAATGATCCCAGTTTTTGTAGTAGTGTTGCGTTGTCATCTCAGCTTTGTAGAGCCCCAGATAACACACTTGGCCTGTAATAGCCTTAAATATTTAAGGTTATGTGCACAAAACCAACATTTAATTAGGGGAACAAAGCATTTCATCATATTTTAATTTTTAATTGCATAGGGTCAAATAGTCCTCACCAATGATTATATAAACTATCCATATTGGATGCTAGGGTACTCAAGCCCTTAATGTTTATATAAAGTACATGTTTTAAGAGAGATCAAACTTTGGAGTTTATAGATCTTTAGTTTATAGGATCGAGGCTCATGTTTGTACAATTCCAGGGCTAAGTTGTTTGCAACCTTTCTGGGCAGAGGCAAATGATATTTTTGATCCCATTGTTAGTTCTCACTAAAACCAATTAATCATATATGTTCATCAGGTATGTGAAAGTACTATCATTGCTTTATAAATAACCTAAATGCTCTGAGACAAAGATCTGAGACTTGTTTTTGGACGTGCTGCTAATGAGTTACTGCATCTTAAGATATCTCATCAAGTATGTTTTACAGTTTTTACTGTTGAATGAAACGGCTAGATACTCTAGAACTCAAATGTTGAACTGAAGGACGGCATCTTCTATTTAAAAAGAAATAAATACAATTTGCATTTTCCTGCCAAAGGGAAGTGTTTAACTTTTTGTGGAATCAGTAATTTTTTCTTACAAGTATTGCCATCTTGACATGAAATTCAGAATGCACAGTTAAATGTCTTGTAATCTGATTTCACTTTCCAATATGCAGTAATCAAAGCAGATACCTGCATATGTGGATGTTTTAGAGGGAATAGAGTAAAATGATGACACTACTCCTTTGAAAAGGCAGGGGAAAAAGTTTGCTAGAAATATGAAGAGTCTTCAATTAGATATAAGGTCTCATATGTATTTTTGCATGTTGACTGTTGCAGTCTAAGGTAGAAATTTATGGTGATGTAGAAGAATTGTCTTTAGTTTATAAATTGGCACATAGTTTAGGTATCTAGTTTTGCCAAAAATGAGTTATTACCTGAGCACCAATATCTTTATTAACTGAGTGGTAGTTTCCTTATTCTCCTGTTGTGGAGAGGGAGGGAAGTTCCTTTCTCCATGGTTTTGAATGGTGAATATACTCTGCAATAAAAATCAGCAATTGAAGGCCCACAGAGCCATTGGATCTTTGGCATCTGGCAGCCAGGGCCTTTGGCTACAGATGCTCTTCCTGTGTCACCATGCAAACTGGAAGTGATTGAGTCCATAGCACCTGCTTTCTGACCTGTGGGTTGTTCTGAGCCACACCTCGAAAAGGTTGCCCCTACTTTACAGAACAGAAGACTGATGCTTTATGTTCTCCAGTTCTTTTTGGTATAGGATGATTGGTGGAAGCCAATGTTCCTACTTTATGCTTTACCATAACCTAGCTGCAGTCCCCTTGTTTTTTGGTCAGATAAGCTGCTAAAATTTTGTTGGTTTGCAGTTTACTATAGAAGTAACGTTTTACAAGTGCTACTTAAATGATTTTTAAATGTTGCGCTTTTCAAAGTGGCAAATAGATGCCACTATGAGGAAAGAGCTATTCGTCATCAGTGCTAAGTTCTACATTCTACTGCAGTAAAAAGTTTGAGGTCTTATTCTATGAAATCATATAGTGATGAGCAGGGATCCATGGTTTTCCCTGATTTAAAAAAATCACAAATTCTCTGATAAAAAACAATTCCATGATTAAAATGAAAGGCCACTCACTCCCCCCCCCCCACCCCCGGCGGGCCCCCCCCCCCCCTCCCCCCCCCCCCCAGCCCTGCTGGTGCCCTTCACTTCCTGCAACACGTCATTAGCCCTGTGAGCTCAGGTGGGGAGGTGGGGCTGGCTCCTGGCTGTTGCATGCACTCCTGAGGGATGGGGTGGGGGCAGGGGGAACTCATGCCTCCCAAATCTGTGTGTGAGGTAAGGGTGGGGGTGAGCTGCCCGCTGTGGGCTTGGGCTCCTGCCCTGCTGCCCTCCCCTAGGGCCTCTGCAGTATACTGGGTTTGGCCCAGCACTGCAGGGCAGAGTGGGGCTGCAGAGGAAAGTTGCTGCCATAGCGATGTTTCCCTTTTGCAGGCAGCAGCAGTAACAGCCAAAGCCCTGTGCTGCTGCATTTGCAGGGGATGCATCTCCAGGGCAGCACAGGGCTCTCAGCAGCAAGCAGCTTTCCTGTACGGCCCTGCAGTGCCAGGTTGTGTCCACTGGCCTGCAGAGGGCCTGGGGGAGGGCAGCAGGGCAGGAGCCCGAGCCTGCAGCAGGCAACCCACGTCGCCCCTCACCCCATGCACAGATCTGGGGGACACCGGTCCCCCTTGCTCCCTGGGAATGTGCACAGCAGTGGGGAGCTGGCCCCATCCCCTGGACAAGCCGTACACAGCCCCATCCCACTCCCTGCCGGGGTCCTGCGGCCACCTAATGCAGCATCTGGGTCCCAAGCTCCACACGCCCCCTGGCTTGGCAACAGCCCCAGCCCTGCCTAACTCCCTCCCTATGAGGGCCTCAGTTCACTAACCTGCTGGAGCTGTTCTCCAGGCTGCCTGGTGGCCATGCGTATATATACATTCACATGGCGCCCTCTGCCTGACTACCCTCCTTCTGCTCCCTCCCAGCCCCATGCAGGCTGGAAGTCTGCCAGCCTGCAGTGAGCTCTTTGCAAAAGTGAAAAATCAATGGGTTCTCCGCTAAAATGAAAAATCCGCATTTTTCTTCTGGCAAAAGGGGAAATTTGTGTGTTTCTCTGTTTTCCATGAGAAATAGAAAACCCAGATCCCTGGTGATGAGGGTTAGTGTGTCATTCAGCCTTGCTCTACTGTGGGCTACTTCTGATTGCGACTGGGCAAGCCACTGAAAATATCAGAACAGAACCACACCTGAATCTCTGAGGTTTTGAAAATGTCAAGCTAATTTTAGATATATTTTCTTAATGTGACTTTTGCCTTCCTACTTTTGTCTGGAATCATAAACAGAATATTAAAATGTCATCCTAGAATATACTTTGGCATTTCCAACTGCTAAAATGGGGAAGTACTAAAAATCTCATGAGAGGCCTGCTCTTGGCAGATTTGCAGACCAGAGGGGTTTGGATAGGATTCAGAACAGTCAAATACTTCAACAAATGTTAAGTGGATTTTCTTAGATTCTACCAATTCCTTCAATAATTTCAGTCTTTAGGATTTACACACACAATCATGCCTAGCTTTGCTTATGGGCATGTGCAATATCAGACTTGGAAAAAGCAAATATATGAATTGTGTATATAATATACATCTTTATTACTTCCAAGTTTCTTAATTTGTTACTCCTTTTTTTAAAATTGACAGATCTGTAACTCTCTCTTAATACAAATGTTTCCTCTGCATGTGTAAATGAGAGAGTGCTTCCTTTTAAAAGTTTTTCCTTCCTTCCTTCCTTAATGCACCTGATGAGTAAAGCTAGATGATTGTGGTTGCAAACACATGTTCAAATCCCCTTGGAAAATTGTCCCAGATCATGTTTTTCTGAAAAAATTTACCTGAACAGATGTTCAAATGCTGGGCTGCTGCCCCTATGCATACTTTGCAGGCTCCTCAGTCTGCTTGATGATAGATGGCAATAGCCCTGATGTGCTACCTTCCAGGCTGTCTCTTCTTGCATCACAGCGTGAAGGTGCTTCCTGTTCAGTTGGAGCACTAAAATCCAGCTAGAGTGACATGCCATCTCTCTTGAATGGGGGTTGGGGAGAGAGGAGAGCAAAACACACTGGGATGCTGCTGCTTTCCTCAGAAAGTACATGTACAAGTTTCCTTTCCCAGGAGAATCTCTTCTTGGGACCCATTTATCTCTGGTTGTTCCCAGGTGTGTGTTCTCTCGGAGTGGCCATTTTTGCTCTGTGAGAATTGCTGACTGTCTTTATACTTATGGCATCTACTGGGAGAGCAGCGATTCTCCCAGTAGAAACTGAAAGTCTATATGTAGCCTGTGTAAGGATGTTATCTGCCTACAAAGCATAACAAGTTATGGAAGGCAGGATCATTACTTGTGAATGAAATCCTACCGGTTATTTAAATCCAACTGAATCCCATATCCTTATTCCATGCCCTGGTTTGCAATTGTGCTTCACATTAAATTGCCCAGCATTTATTAAATTATGTTTATTTTCTCTTCATAGGCTGAAGCAAGGCTTGCAGCAAAGCGAGCAGCACGTGCTGAAGCGCGGGAAATTCGGATGAAAGAACTTGAGAGGCAGCAAAAAGAGGTACTTACCAAGTTTTCAGTGGGTGACCTTCTCTGCCTTCCTGAATAGGATCTCAATTCCTTAGGTCACTGGTTAATTTTCTACTATGCTGAAATGTCAGCTGTCTTCACTGGCAACACTTTTGATCAACCTAGTAGTGGTCATTAAACTGTGGTTAAAAATGAGTCTGAAAATGCAGAAAATGTGATGGGAATGCTTTTTGCTAGAAAACCCAATATAGTTACTTACAGTTGGAGTGTGTGTGCCTGGTTTATACTTGTTGACAAATATTTCTGAGTTTATATTAACTTTTAGGGAGCTTTTGGGTTTCCCCCGTATCAGACTTTTACAAATCTGATAATTAGGGAAGACATTGAGCCTTCATCTTTATAGTAAATTAAAACAAGCTACATAATGGCAGCGTTGACTCTCTCTGGATCTCATCCATTTAAGGAATCTGTGTTCTTAGAGTAAAAATACCATTTGCACAAAAGGTTGTAGCAAACTGAACTCATGAAAATATCACCTTCTTTTGAAAATATTTGGTGTGCCAATGTGGATTGCAGATTTGAATAATTTTATGGATCTGGAAAAGACTTCTGTTGTATCTGGCAGGTTAAGAGCTGTACTACAGAATATCAGACTTATCCTGTATTGAGTAACTGAGTTCAATATTTGTGTGCTTGGTGAATAAGAGGTAGTAGAATAACATTACAGTATTACTTCTAGGATGAGGCCGATAGAAGAAAATGGATCAATTTTGTATAATGAAGAAGATAGTGCTGTCCAAAACAGCTGAAACTTCACATTTATTGAGATGCATCTAATGAACTGGGTTGCTGCTGTTATTGTAGATCCTTTTAAAATAATTGAGTTTTCTCAAAAACGAGGATATTGGGTCACGTTCAGGATAAAATGGGTGGAAGGAAAGTATGGCTGTGCAGCTATGATTCAGTTTAGTCTAGAAATAGCAAAACTGGTGTTCCGTTAAGTGCCATGGGACCTGGCAGTAGTTTAGTCATGGCAGTACAATGCCTTGTGCAGCCTGCAAAACCTGCCTGTAAATCAGGATAAGTACTGAGCAGTTAACCCACACTACCTTCTGTGCCATGGTGGCTGGATTGTTGCTGATGCATGAGCTAGCTAGTTTAAAGCTAGCTGAGATATGTATGTCTGCACTGCAGCTGAGAAACAGCTGCTGAAGAAACGTTACCAGAGAAGCATGATGTTGATTGCAGGAAGAGGCCTTTTGCTACTCCAGTTGCTTCTCATGTTTTGCATGGAATGTTCCTTTATCACTTCAGCCACAGCCAAAAGGTTTGCATGGCTGGCAGTAGATTTATATTATAGAGCCTCCTGCTGTGCCTAAGTCCTGAGTAATAGGATTTCCGAAACAGCCTGGGACAAATCCATAGTAAACAAATATTTTCACTGTGGCAGCTCATAATGATGATAGTCTCTAATTTCACGGTAATTACAAAGCAATTGATGACATCTTCCCTTCTCTGGGAGATTGAAAATTAATGCTACAAGCAGCTAACTGGTAAATTGTAACTTAACTGTCTAGTTCAGACTGTAACAAAGCATACGTTGTCTCTTGAGACTGCACTACTTAATTGTAGATAATAACCACAAAAAACCCCCCAATTCTATGAAAACATTTTTTTTTGGCTAACTATTCAGTTTTAAAGATGCCATAAAGGTATTTTAAGTAACATTTGGCATGCAGTAAATCAGCCTTGTCAAACATACAACCTGTGGGTCAGATCTGGCCCATGGAGCCACTGTTTCTGGCTCTCTGGGCTACTGGCAGGTAACTGGAAGTAAGGGGGCATGGCTGGGAGATGTGGCCTACCACAGAATCTGGGGTCCATGGACCACAGTAGACGTGGCAATCAGGACAGAAGGACAAGTAAGGGCTAACAGCCCCAATTGCCTTTCAGCCACCTTGCCCAATGTCACAGTGGCCACCTCAGCTCCTCGGGTACCAGCCCTGCTGCTGCATGCCCTGTGCTGGACCTGGAGCCATCTCTGCTGTGTGCCAGAGCCATCGCCCCAGCATGAAATGGGCTGGTGGCAGCAGCTCTGGCTCAGGCATGGGGCATGCATTACATGGTGGGAGCTGGAGCCATTGCCACCATCACTTGCAAAGCCCACCCATTCCCTGTTCTAGATCCAGCCCCCAAGGAGCCCTGTGGTCTGGTTCTGGTCCAGTTGTCAGACATGTTTAAAGGATGACTGTGGAACATATTAAGATAGCCAGCAACTTCAGTGGCTTCTTGGCATCTAAAATTGCCTTAGATGAATAGACATTGTAATGTCGGTAGGCACACAGACCCTTGACCTCTTTAAGAAAAGCAGTGGAAAAAAAATCTGTTCCTTCTTGAGAATGCAAAAAAATGGTATTGTCCATGCAATTGTCGTCTTGAATATCTAAGATTCAAAATGCTTGTTCTATTATATCAGGAAGTTGGGTTTTTTTAGATGCATTTACTGCAGTTATAAATGCAACAAATATATTGAATATGTGTGCATTTATCTCATGTTTAAAGCAGTACACATGCTCTGACAGATCTGCTTATGAGCAGGGATCACTTGAAAATATATACATTGTTAAAGTCCTTAAGGTTTTTAAATTTTTTGGATAATGTCATTCCAAGCTAATTTATTTAGCCTTTACATGCATGGCGGCAGTGGAGTAGCAGTGGACCATCTCAGATGTAACAAGGAATGTGCAAAAAAGCAAATTTTCTTTGGTAATATCTCTTATTGGTCCAACTGCATGGTTGAGAGAGACATTAGACAAGTGTTTAGGCATGAAGAGCCCTTCTTTGAGTCTGGGAAAGAAGCAGATAAAGCAATGGCTTCTGTTTAACACCATGTGTAAAGAAAGTCATGTAAAGAGGCTTTAAACTGTGGAGCAGAGAGACATTATCAGAAGTAGCTTTAGAAAAAGAGAAATGCGGTTGAATAGCATCACTTTAACTGGCAGAGAGACAGTATGCTTTTAGTAGTTTGGGGAAAGGTGGGGGAGAAAGGTAGACAAAAATTGGGCACTCCTGTTTCTGTTGCAAGCACAGCTATTTGCTATGTAACATCAGTTCACCTCTGCTTCATTTTTCCCTTTTGTAAAATGAGTGCTTGCCTTGTGGGAATAAAGTTGAGGTGTTTAACTCTTATTTGATAATTTCTCTACTGTGATAAGTGCTTAGTATACATACCTATCTTAATTTCTTCACTTGTGAAGTTTATTGGCTGAAAAATGATCTGTGTATTTATATTTTTCTTAGAAAAGCTGACTAGTAAAATACTGTAGAACAATTTTGTTAAAGCCTCATACACAGAGCCTAGAGCTAAAGGCTTGTTCCAGGTATCTAGTAAAGCTAATGAGTACATTAGAAAAAATACGTAATATAAGGCCAAATTCTGATCTTCATTTTGGCAGAAGTTTTTTGGGGGGGAGCCTATTAGATTTATTTGAGGGCAGACAGTTGCAAATTTCTGCTCTTACCCTTGAGCTTATAAGTGTGACACCCTCCTTTTGATGCTTCTTCCATCCAGCTTCCTTATTTAAATTGCCCTATATAAAGGTCATTTAGGACCTGTCAGGAAACCTTATTTAATGCAATTATGATAACACTTGTTTTGTGCAGAGGGTTAGCACTCATTTGCTTTGCCAATCCAATGGTGTCTGTTTTGTAATTTTTTCTTCGATGTTTCCAGCGTTTATGACCAACGCTGATGAGTCAGTTGTCAAGTAAAAGTAAAATACAAGGTGACTGTGTAGGACCTATTTTGGAAACTATGGGAATTATGCAGTAGTACACTGATTCAGTTCGTCTGCCGAGTAGAATTACTATTAAAGACTTAAGTAAATTGTCTCTCAAAAGTGAAGGGAATCTGCTCTGGCACCTCCACTAATGCATGACCAGGGGATTTGGAAGACAAATGGTAGAAAGGGTTTGAATGGGTTGGGGAGGTAGTCAGTGGACATGGTAAGGGGATATTTTGCGGGTTGGAAGCAAGGAGCATGGCTGGTATGATATTAAGCCAGGAACTTAATCTGTATTTGCTCATCTAGAAGAGGAACCTGAATATAAGATGACCCTCCAATAATTAGATTCTGTATATGGAAAATGTATAAATGTTTTTATAATCCTCCCCCGACTTTTTCCCCTGGCAGCCCCTCCCCCTCTCCTTACTGTAAGACCCTGCTCTCCCTAAGCACATGGAAGTGAAAAGCAAATGTATATAACCTTGAAATTGAACATGGCTGTAGCTATTTGCATATAGTACTCATAGGCTTAGTTCATCCAGAATTGACAAATGTTACCTCTTTTGAAACTGCTGCAAGTTTTACCACAAGTACTATAAACGCTCGTTTGAGCAGCACTTTGGCACCTACTTGTACACAGTACAAACTATTCATAATATTTAGTCCAAAACCAGCAGGCTCATGACTTACCGTAGAGTTCACTGGGCCGGGCCCCAGCAAAGTCAGCATGGTGACCACAGCCTAGCACTGCTCAATATATGTGTATACTTCAGATACCCCCACAAAGGAGCCATGTGCTAATTATCCCCGTACTCATGACTGGAATTGGATGCTCTTGTCACAAGTCCTAGGATCTTCCAAAAATATATATGCAGATGAGGTGCAGGGCAACCTGGTCTGCCTTCTTCACTCACTAATCATGTGTGCCAGGCTGAGAAAGGGAGGGGTGACAAAGGGATTCTGGGTGAGCTGTTTGGGGCCCCATTTGGTGATTTTTGCTAGACATTTAAGGCTGGCAAAGAAGTGTCAATGGGAAATGTGCAGCTTAGCAGCGGGAGCGAAGAGGAAGTCAAAATGTATGCAATGTAATGTCTCACCATGACTTGGAAAAAACAGTTGGTGCTGAAGAGGACTGTGTTTAATGGGTACTACTGCATGTCTTATTCAGATGGGCTGCACTAACCTATCCTTGTGGTAGGTTCCCATCAGCATCTTGGCCTTTTGGCTGTGATCAAATATAGCTTTT